TTGTCATCATGACCACCTTGACGCTAGATTCAGGAATTGAGGACTGGGTCAGTCTTGAGTCTGGAAACATGATAGGAGCAAATGGACTGAGGTGGAAGAGCATAGCAAGAATCCTTTTACCTGTTGAACTCTACACCAGGTGCCAGGTGCCCGGTTTGGCCAGTGAAATGTAAGTCAAAGTATGCTGTCTTCTGAGCAGGAATTGGCTCTTCCTGATAAAATGATAGCACCCTTTCCTACTGACGTCTGCCCTGATCATGGTTGGGATGCTCAAAGCTGTGGCAGCCATCTTAGGATGAGGCGTCAAGCATGACGATGGAGGTAGATGCCAGGGATGGAGAGGAATACACAATGGAAAGAGCTGGGGTCCCTGAGAGTGCCGGTGAGCAACTGAGCAGCTAACCCTCAGCTTTGTTATACAGGAAAAATAAAACCTACTTACTTAAATCACAGTGGAATTGACGGGTAAATACCAAATCTAAGTTGTATAAATCATCAAAATTTATGGTGCGCCCAATGAGACAAACCATGAAATACGCTATTTTTGTCATATCTAAAAGCAACCCTATCTGGATAGTGGATGATATTCTTAACCTTAATGTTGGCTTCCTTGACCTTGATCTAAGAAACTTCTCTTGAACCTCTGCCAACTACATTGCTCTCTAGCAAAGTGTCTACAAACGGTGGAAGGATTAGAATGTTCTAGAGCTTCCTTTGCCTACTGGGGGTATTATTTCACACATGCGTTCCCTGATTCCCCAAAAAGGAGACTCAAGGGAAATCTACTCACACAAAACATTCCTGAGAACAGCAGACTTTACTGAAGACTTCGTGGAGGAACAGAGGAGGGATTTATACCACTGAAATGACAGAGATATTGTAATGACAATTTGCAGAACATCCATCACTGTTAAAAGTGTTTGCAAGAGGGGACGGGGGGGGGATGGGGTAACTGGGTGATGATGGGCATTAAGGAGGGCACCTGTGGTGATGAGCACTGGGTGTTATACCCAACTGATAATTTACTGAACACTACACCTGAAACTAATGATGTACTATAAGCCGGCCAACTGAACATAATAAAAAAATTAAAAAATAGGGCACCTGGGTGGCTCAGTCGTTAAGCGTCTGCCTTCGGCTCAGGTCATGATCCCGGAGTCCCGGGATCAAGCCCCACATCGGGCTCCCTGCTCGGCGGGAAGCCTGCTTCTCCCTCTCCCTCTCCCCCTGCTTGTGTTCCTGCTCTCGCTATCTCTCTCTCTGTCAAATAAATTTAAAAATATATTTAAAAAAAATTAAAAAATAAATAAAAATAAAATAAAATAAAAAATAAAGTGTTCGCAGGGGCTCTCATGGGTACCTCGACTTGTTCTAGCCTCTCCTTCTGTCTTTCATTCCCCTTCTCGCCATCGTATGGACACCTGCTCAGCATCTGGATCCCACTCTTCTGGTTACAGAAGTGTCTCCCAACCCCCCAACCCACCTCCCCCTAACTTTCAGGCCACGTGGAGCACAGCCTTTGGCACCAGGCTTTGGCTGATCAATCAGAAGCAGGTGGGCATGTGACTGAATCTGGCCAATGAGAGCTGTGGGAAAGCGGGGCTCCCCTTCCGGGACACAGGCGGCAGAATCTTACCTGGCAGGTGTTGCTCAGTGAGCTGACATGGGATGCGGAGATCTGTAGGCAACGAAACAAATGCAGAAGAAAGCAGAGCAAAGAGCTTCCCCGTGGCTAGGTTGTCTACCTAGGTCAGCTGTGCCCCTAGCAAGGACTGTCCCTGGACTTAACTTTTTTTTTTTTTAAAGATTTTATTTATTTATTTGAGAGAGAGAGAATGAGAGAGAGAGAACACATGAGAGGGGATAGGGTCAGAGGACGAAGCAGACTCCCTGCCGAGCAGGGAGCCCGATGCGGGACTTGATCCCGGGACTCCAGGATCATGACCTGAGCCGAAGGCAGTCGCTTAACCAACTGAGCCACCCAGGCGCCCCAACTTTTTTTTTTTAAGATTTTATTTATTTATTTGAGAGAGAGAGAATGAGAGACAGCATGAGAGGGAGGAGGGTCAGAGGGAGAAGCAGACTCCCTGCCGAGCGGGGAGCCCAATGCGGGACTCGATCCAGGGACTCCAGGATCATGACCTGAGCCGAAGGCAGACCCTTAACGACTGAGCCACCCAGGTGCCCCCAGAATCCTTATTTTAATAAGATCCCCAGCTGATTCATGTACAATTGAGGCTTGAGAAGCACTGGGCTCATGATTTTGAGATCGTACCCAGCAGTGATCACTAATCCCAATCCCACTCTTTAAATAACCTCCTCCAAAGCTATGGTCTTTGTGTATTGTGAGTGCTGCTGTATTCTGAGTCCAGAAAGCATTTACTGGCTCTCATAGTCCCTCCCCTCCCCTTTGAGCATAGCTGTCCCGTCCCTGCCTCTAACAGCAAATGCGGCTGGACGGGTAGCCTCATGGAGGACACAGTAGTTAGTGAAAGTAGGAAAAGTAGGTCACATTTGAGGGTCAGATCCCAATACTTCACCTCTGAGATTCCCATTTTACATAGGTTATGTAAAGACTTGTCCTGCGTCCTATTTCTTCATTCCTTGGCTGAGCCTTCAGAGGTTTGGAGTGAAGGTAAGGTGACTCTTCCAGGGGCACACTCCTAACGAGGTGGTGGGGTACAGGGTGGGGGAGAGAGACACGTGCGGGGATCTCCACGTTGCACTGCTGTCCCCAGAAAGTCAGGAGCAGGAACTCCCCCAAATGCTGTCTTCACGTTGTTGGCATGCGCAGAAGCACTCACCGACTCCCTGCTACCTATGGGAGCCACTCACATTTATGAGTCCTGGTGGAAAAACATTCCTAATCCCCTGTCTCCTGTTTCAGGTCGATCATTTTATCTTCCTAAGCAATCCAGACCAATAATAAAAATATAAAAATCCCTTCACAACTTTCCACCAGAGTTCCCCACCCCCATCAAGCATTCCACAATTTTCATATGCAAGTGAGGAAGGTATTATCATCTCACAGAAAGCCTTCCCCACTTTCTCTATCCCCTTCCCCCCATTTTTCTCTGCTTTCCTTTTCGCACGCAGGATGATCTAGCCTGCACTGCCCATAGGCTGGACATAGCTTTAAGGTCTCCTTTTCATTCCAAGTAGTTTAACAAAATACATATATTTTTTCTTCAAATACTGTGCCCTCCCTTAGGTGATGTCTCCACCTTGGGTCACATAAAATGTTATATGTATGTGTGATTCATTCATTATATATCTCATCAAACACAACGGGGCATTTACAGCATTTCCAGTGCTGGTCTAGTTGTCGGGAAGAGAATGGCGATCAGAACTGTTGGGGCTGAATTGGACCCCCTTCCCAGGGCAACTGATACCTTAACTCCTAACACTGTTCATTGGTTTTACCTGTTTTTGAATTTCATACAAATGTAATTATATAGAACACACTTCTTAATATCTGCCTTCTGTTGTTTAACATTATGCCCATAGGATCCATCCATATTATTTCTTGTAGTTGTAGTTTGTTTCTCCTTATTGTTTAAGGCACTGAAATTAGGATCCCTAGTTTCAGCCCAAGGCATCCTAAGTGAAGCACTGCTGCTTTGACCACCCTCCCAAAATCATTAAATCCCTATGCCAGTCAGTCTTGGCCGAGGTACACCGCAGTAAGGAACAAGCCCTTCCTCTTCGTGACCTACATCAACATGTTTCCCTACAAGTTCACTGTGAGTCTGTTAGCCCTGATTACATCTACGTTCTTTTCATTTCTGGTCAAGCGCAGACAAAAGAGTCTGTATCCGTTTTTTATGCTGCTGTAACAAATCCCCACTACACACATCAACTATTTTACAGTTTGGGAGGTCAGAAGTTCGAAAGGTGGCTAAAATCAGGGTGTTGGGGCACCTGGGTGGCTCAGACCGTTAAGCGTCTGCCTTCGGCTCAAGTCATGATCCCAGAGTCCTGGGATCAAGTCCCGCATCGGGCTCCCTGCTCCTTGGGAGCCTGCTTCTCCCTCTGCTTCTCTCTCTCTCTCTGTCTCTCATGAATAAATAAATAAAATCTTAAAAAAATATATTTAAAAAATAAAATCAGGGTGTCAGCAGGCTGTTCCTTTGGAGGTTCCAGATGAGAATCCATTTCTTGCCTTTTCCAGCCAGATATCAGTCATATCACTCCTTCCTCTGCTTCCATCTCTCTTGCCTCTGACTCTGGTCCTCTTTGTGATGACACCAAGCCCACCGGGACAATTCACGGCGATGTCCCTGTCTCAAGAGCCTTACATTTAATCACGTCTGCAAAGCAGCCCCTTCTGCTACCTAAGGTAGCATTTCAGAGATTCGGGGATTGGAACACAGACATCTTTGGGGGACCATTACCCTACCATACAGTGGTAGGTATATGGCAGTGTTGGGGCCAAGAAAAGAGAAAACAGCAGGCCCCTGCAAGTTAAGGTTCTTCATGCTTCTACCTGGAAGGGGGGTTTGCTCACATTTGCCCGCATTTCACGTCCCTCTGGCTCAGGGGCCATCTGCCATTTCAGGTTCCCTGTCCAAGTCCCATACCAGCAGAGAGGATCCCGCGAGGAGGGGCGGTAGCTCGTTTGATCATAACCCGAAGGACCACAGGCACAGGAGCGCCAAGAGAAACAGCCGGAAGGATCAAGGAAGGAGTAGGGCTCTTGGCCAAGGGACCCGGGAAGAGGGGAGCAGAAGTGAAAGCCTTTCTCGCGGTGGAATGGCTCCTGGGATTTCCTAATCTGACCAAGTTCCTCTTCTTGGAAGGGAACCCCACTGGTGCGTCGTGGGGCAGGGCAGGCGTCCCCTGCGGGTGGCGGGGGGGGGGGGGGGAGGGGGCTCTATTTCAACACTAGGACTTGGCTCTCTCGCTCCTGCAGCCCGGCCTGAGGAGCGGCAGACGGTGGGCGTGCTGGCATCGCTCACGCTGGGCTCCGGCTTCTGCCCTTCGCGGGGCACGACACCCCCATGCCCCGAGCCCCGGTCAGCGACGGCCTCTGTCGCCTCTCGGCCTACCTGGAAGAACTGGAGGCCGTGGAGCTGAAGAAATGCAAGCTGTACCTGGGCACCGAGGTGGAGGCGGGCAGGATCCCCTGGGGGCGGCTGGAGGCGGCCGGGCCGCTTGACACGCGCAGCTGCTGGTGGTGCACTGCGGGCCGGACGCCGCCTGGCCGCTGGCGCTGGGCCTCTTCCAGCGCATCAACCGACGGGACCTGTGGGAGAGAGGACAGAGGGAGGACCCGGTGAGGGGTAAGGACGCCGCAGGCCCCGCCGGGGGCCCTTCCGCCAGCGACAGTCGCCGCGCGCACGAGACCCGGCTCTCGCTTCTGCCCTTGGCCTTGCTCGCGCTGCGTTCTGCCCGCGACGCCCTCGCTCTGCCCGGAAAACCCCTGCTTCGCCATCAGAACCCAGGAGGCACTATCTCGTGCGCGGGTTCTTTCCTCCCCCCACCCCCCGGGCCTGCCCCTGGCCCTCAACCACCCCGGCTGGCTTCTGCAGCGCCCGGATTTCTCTTACTGTATCTCCTGTCCTATGAGATAATCCGGGTGCTGCCAACACCCACTCCCTCCCATAACACGCGTCCGTGCTTTCCACGGTGCACAAGGACGCGCGCTCCGCGCTTTCCACGGCGCACAAGGACGCGCTCCGTGCTTTCCACGGTGCACAAGGACGCGCGCTCCGCTTTCCACGGTGCACAGGGACGCGCGCTCCGCGCTTTCCACGGTGCACAAGGACGCGCTCCGTGCTTTCCACGGTGCACAAGGACGTGCGCTCCGCGCTTTCCACGGTGCACAAGGACGCGCTCCGTGCTTTCCACGGTGCACAAGGACGTGCGCTCCGCGCTTTCCACGGCGCACAAGGACGCGCTCCGTGCTTTCCACGGTGCACAAGGACGCGCGCTCCGCGCTTTCCACGGCGCACAAGGACGCGCTCCGTGCTTTCCACGGCGCACAAGGACGCGCGCTCCGCTTTCCACGGTGCACAGGGACGCGCGCTCCGCGCTTTCCACGGTGCACAAGGACGCGTCCGTGCTTTCCACGGCGCACAAGGACGCGCTCCGTGCTTTCCACGGTGCACAGGGACGCGCGCTCCGCTTTCCACGGTGCACAGGGACGCGCGCTCCGCGCTTTCCACGGTGTACAAGGACGCGCGCTCCGCGTTTTCCACGGTGCACAGGGACGCGCTCCGCGCTTTCCACGGTGCACAGGGACGCGCGCTCCGCACTTTCCACGGTGCACAAAGACGCACTCTGTGCTTTCAGTGCTGTGTGAGAGATATTGTTATGATCACCCCTGTTATAGAGATAAGGAAACTGAGGCTCAGAAAAACACGATTTGCCCCCAGACGAGAGCTCCTGGGTTAAAACCCGCAGAGGGTTTCAGGCGGCGCGCAGCGGATACCAGCTGCTGTTGAGGGTGGCGCGGATGAGAAAACAGAGACCCTGCTTTGTAGAATTTGCTACTCTGCCTGGTGTAAATACTCCCCGGAGGGCTGATTTGAAGTTCCCAATGTGATGCCCACTGGCTTGTAATTCATAGAAATTTAGCGGCAGACTCTCTTGAGCTGGTGAGGCGTGATGACAAGAGGCCTCCTCAGATCCGGTCTCAGGTGGCTCCTTCTCTCCCTGTCTCCATCGTTGGAGAACATTGCAGAGGCCTCGGACTGCGGGAGTGTGAGACATTCCATCTTTACTCAAGGACACCTATGAAAATGAAAGCGCTATCAGCAATAAAGAAAAAAGGATAAATGTATTCACTTATGATCTCATATAATTGTTCTACTTATAGAAGTTCTACATACTCCTTATAGGAAATTCAAATAATATACAAGTATGAAGTGCCCCCCCTTCTCCCACTGCACCTAAACCTCTCCCCAGCATCACAACTGATGACTTTGGCAAGCATCCTTTTCCAGACCGTGTCGAAAGGCAGCCCCATGGTCTGAAGCTTAGCTTATTTCCAGCTGTGTGGTGCTGGAAAATCGGTGTACCTCTCTGGGCCTCTGTTGCCTCATCAGTAAGACAAAAGGGACTGGATTAGTTCAGGGGTTCTCGCATGTTAATGTGCGTGGGAATCATCCAGACACCCTGCTGGGAAGGTAGAATCCAAGACCAGCAGGTTAGGGGCAACAGGAATCTGCATTTGGATGTGGGTGGTGTTCATGGCACACTTCAGAAAATACTAAGCTAAAACATCTCTGGGGGGGCGCCTGGGTGGCTCAGTTGTTAAGCGTCTGCCTTCAGCTCAGGTCATGATCCCAGGGTCCTGGGATCGAGCCCCGCATCGGGCTCCCTGCTCCGCGGGAAGCCTGCTTCTCTCTCTCCCACTCCCCCTGCTGGTGTTCCCTCTCTCGCTGTGTCTCTCTGTCAAATAAATAAATAACATCTTTAAAAAAAAAAAAAAAAAGAGGTAGGATGACTTCTTTCTAAAAAAAAATCTCTGGGGGCACCTGGGTGGCTCAGTCAGTTAGGCGGCTGCCTTTGGCTCAGGTCATGATCCTAGGGTCCTGGGATCGAGCCGCACATCGGGCTCCTGGCTCAGCAGGGAGCCTGCTTCTCCCTCTGCCTCTGCCACTCCCCATGCCTCTCCCCCTGCTCGTGCTCTCTCTCTGTATCTCTGGGTGTCTCAAATGAATAAATAAAATCTTAAAAAAAAAAACCAAAAAACCAAAAAAATATCTCTGATGTCTTTGTCAGCTGTAATATTCACTGATTGCCTTATTTTATTTTATTTTATTTTATTTTATTTATTTATTTTTAAAGATTTTGTTTATTTGACAGAGAGATAGAGAGAGCACAAGTAGGCAGAGCGGCTGGCAGAGGGAGAGGGAGAAGCAGACCCCCCACTGAGCAGGGAGCCCGACATGAGACTCAATCCCAGGACCCTGGGATCATGACCTGAGCCGAAGGCAGACGCTTTACTGACTGAGCCACCCAGGCGCCCGCTTTTTTTTTTAATTGTGGTAAAATACACATAACAAAATTATTATAAATGAATTGGACTCTTCTAGATATGTCATAGAAGTGGATTCTTTTTGTGACTGTCTTATTTCACCCAGCATAATAGTTTCAAGATTCATCCATGTTATAGCATGTGTCCGAGTTTTCTTCCTTTTTAAGGCTGAATAATATTCCATCGTGTGGAATACACACACACACACACACACATTACATTTTAATTCATTTAATTCATTCATCTCTTGATGAGCCCTTGGGTTGCTCTTACCTTTTGGTTATTGTAAATAACGCTGTTGTTAACATGGGTGTACAAATATCTCTTCTAGACTCTGCTTTCAATTATTCTGAGTGTGTACTCAGAAATGAAATTGCTGGATCAAATGGTAATTCTATTTTAATATTTTAAGGAATGCATAGTTTTCCATCGTGGCTGCCCCATTTTACATTCTACCACAGTGCACGAGGTTTCCAATTTTCCCACATCCCCACCAACACCTATCTCTAGATTTTTGTGTCTTTTTTTCCCCCCCCATTTTTTAAAAAGAGTAATCTCTGTGCCCCAGGTGGGGCTCAAACTCATTGCCCTGGGCTAAGGAGCTGCACAATCCACCCGTTGAGCAGCAATGCTAGCCCTCTGTTATATTTGTTTAAAGCAGCCATCCTAATGAGCGTGAAGTCTGATTTCTGTCATTTGTGATTAGTTTTCCCTGCGCATCACCTCAAGTCCTTGTTTCCTACAACCTCACACATCCGGTTTGGGGCAAATCCCAGTACTTCCAGCTCCAAGCATTGCCTCCCACTCTGCTGCCACCCAGTGGGTAACCCACCTTGCACTTGGCTAACTGCCCCTAGCTGGGCTTTGCTTCCCACCCCACCCCCATCCCCCACGGCTTCTTACAGGCTTTCCCCACTCAGCAGGCACAATAATCTTTACAACCATTGATTAAATCATTCCCCTCCCTTGTTTTGAATCCTCCAAAGGCCTCTGTTGTGAACAGAATGTAATCCAAACTCCTCAACCTGCTCCCACAAGATCTGGCTGAGCCTGTCTCTCCAAACCCACCCAGCACTTACCCTGAAGCTCATTCCACTCCAACTTCATTCCTCTCTTGTGTCATTGTGTTCTTCCCCAGGACTTTTACCCTTGCTGTGTTTTTTGTTTTTTGTTTTATGTTTCCTGCTTAGAACAACTTTGCTCATATATCTGGCCCCTTGCCATTTGGATCTTGGATTAAGTGTCTTATACCGTGTTCTGATTACCCCCCTATTCACCCCATTGATGGAGGAGGGATAGCCCTCCCTAAATGGTTTTGGATAGCTGGACACATGACACCAAACCCAGGACAGATGAGACTGACAACAGTCACATGCACTCACAGCCCAGGGGAGGAGACCCCATGCACCACGCAGGTCTCACAGGGCTGCACTCAGGAATACAGTGAACCCGCAGGGGCTGTGCGAGGCAGGCTTTGTAGACACAGGAGCATGGGGTGCTTTGTGATTCCTGAAAAAAGGATGAGATTGACTTGTTTGAATGATTTCATGGGCCCGCAGGGAACTGGAACTTTCGAGAATGAGGGCCACCAGGTGAGGTGGACTGGGTCTAGGAGATAGGGGATGAGGTGGGGGGCAGCTGGTCAACTTCTGCTAGGAAAACTAGTCAAGTGGGGAGGCTGCCCCACTAGGTGAGCGCATACCTGGCCAGAGCACCAGAACTCACACTTAGGCTCACATTTTGGGGTCCAGTGAGGCTCAAAGATGCCCAGGAAACATTGGCAATTTTTGATCTTACAATACATCCACAGAAAAGCCTTTCCTGGCCACCTAAACCAAAATACTACTTTCAATCACTCTGTTATGTACCCTTGTTTAATTGTAGATAACAACTTTCATCATTATCCGAAGTTATATGAAGTGCTTATTTGTAAAATTTTTTTAAAGATTTTATTCAGGGCACCTGGGTGGCTCAGTTGGTTAAGCGACTGCCTTCGGCTCAGGTCATGATCCTGGAGTCCCCGGATCGAGTCCCGCATCGGGCTCCCTGCTCGGCAGAGAGTCTGCTTCTCCCTCTGACCCTCCTCCCTCTCGTGCTCTCTGTCTTTCATTCTCTCTCTCTCTCTCAAATAAATAAATAAAATCTTAAAAAAAAAAGATTTTATTCATTTATTTGAGGGAGAGACAGAGCATGAGCAGGGGGAGGGGCAGAGGGAGAGGGAGAAGCAGACTCCCCGCTGAGCCCAGAGCAGCTAACCTGGGTCTGGATCCCAGGACCCCTAGATCATGACCTGAGCCAAAGTGAGGTGCTTAACTGCCTGAGCCACCCAGGTGCCTGAAGTGTTCGTTTTTGATGTACTCAACTCCCCACACCGCTAGAATGTAAGGTCCATGGAGCAGAGCCCTTGTTTATTGCTGTGTATCCAATGCTAGCAAAATGCCTGGATAACATTGGTGCCCAATATATGTATATTTGTTGGATGGATGGATGGATGGATTGATGGATGGGTAGGTGGGTGCATGCATGGATGGATGAGACATGGCCAAGGACTGAAGGAGAGGGAGGGAATCCAAGCTGACTCACAACTTCCTGCCTGAGGGGATTTGTTGGATGGATGGAGGTGCCAATCACCATGATGTGCACCCAGGAAGGAGAGTGGGTTACGAAGCACAAGTGTTTTCAACAGTGCATGTGAGGTGACTGCCAAACATTCGGGGTGTGGGTGGGCAGAGAATTATCATGTAGACAGTTTGATGTAATAGTAACTAATATTTTTAAATTGACATATGAGTTATATTTGTTTCAGGCATGCACAGTAGCTAATATTATAGCGAGCTAGCCAGAAAAATACTAGCTGATCTCCTAAAATGTCTCTTCCAGATACTCCGCCTGGTGGCCCATCCTCACTGGGAAGCCAGTCAGCATGTTCTCTGGAAGTCTTTCCTGGACCTCCAAGAAGAGGTGAGCTATGAGCCATGTAGCTTGTAGAATGCACAAGCCACATGAATCAGACTACCCGACACAGTAGATCAAGCAAAAAAAAAAAAAAAGACATTTATTTAATGTTTGCATATAATAAGAAATCTTGGGCTGGGTGGTTGCAGAGTTGATGTAGTAGATCAACAACACCGTAGGGGCACCTGGGTGGCTCAGTCGGTTAAGCGTCTGCCTTGGGCTCAGGTCATGATCCCAGGGTCTTGGGACCGAGCTCCGCATCAGGCTCCCTGCTCAGTGGGGAGCCTGCTTCTCCCTCTCCCTCTGCCTGCTTGTGCGCTCTCTCTCACTGTGTCTCTCTCTGTCAAATAAATAAATAAAATCTTAAAAAAAAAAAAACACCATCAAAGCCCCAACTTCTTACTGGTTCATTTGTCCTGAGACTTGTCACCTCATGTTGCAGGGTGGCAACCAAACCATGCAAGTCAATTCCAAGCAGGGGAGAAAAGAGAGACAGAGGTTTTCTTCCTCGACAGGGTATCGTTTTATTCAGGAATAAAATCCTTTCAATGCGCTTCCCCCTTCCCAGTGGTCATCCCCCTCCCCCCCTTGGTGGGGACTGGGGCACATTCCCAGACTAGCCACTGGCAACAGGCAATGAGATTGCTCACTACTGGTTTAGCCAACATTCATCCTCCCGGGCTTGTGAAGGGACAGCATTCACTGGAACCAAGGGATCAGCACCATTACCTTAATAAAATCAGGATTGTTGGCAAGGAACAAATGAGAATGGGTTGCGGGACAGACAGCACCATCAACAATAACACCAATGATTCTGGACACTTTTCAAGGCTCCTTAATGCACTGGGCATAGCACATGGCCAAATATTGTAACTCCATCTTTGTTCTCATCCTTATTTTAAGCTTTTCTATTTTCCTAATGTTCTCTGTGTCTCAAAATAAGAACACTTTCTCTACAGGAAAAGACTAAGACTTTTACAGAATCCGAACATTACTGTCACAATTATCTTTGTTCAATTGAAAAATGTTTTCTACATGAAATAGAATCACTGTTGACAAAAGAGAAGGACAATTGGTGTGTATTTATGAATCTAGAAGTATTAATATTTATTAATACACATTAAGGGAGCTAATAAAATGACTTTATCAACAGATGAATGGATAAACAAAATATGGTGTATATATATATGTATCTATTCCATATACATGTATACCATATGCATACAATGGAATATTATTCAGACTTAAAAAGGAATGATATTCTGATACTTGCTACAGCATGGATATACTTTGAAAGCATTATGCGGGTGCCTGGGTGGCTCAGTTGGTTGAGCGACTGCCTTCGGCTCAGGTCATGATCCTGGAGTCCCGGGATCGAGTCCCGCATCAGGCTCCCTGCTCAGCGGGGAGTCTGCTTCTCCCTCTGACCTTCCCCCCTCTCATGTGCTCTCTCTCATTCTCTCTCTCTCAAATAAATAAATAAAATCTTAAAAAAAAAAAAAAAGAAAGCATTATGCTAAGTCAAATGAGCCAACACAAAAAGAGACTGTGTGATTTCACTTATATGAGATACCTAAAGTAGTCATATTCATGAGACAACAAGTGGTCGCCAGGGGCTGGGGTAGAGGGAGGAATGAGGAGTTAGCGTTTAATAGGCACAGAGTTTCTGTTGAGCATGATGGGAAAGTTCTGGAAATGCATAGTGGTGATGATTGCACAAGTTTGCAAATGCACGTAATGTCATTGAGTCCATCAAACACTTTTTAAGTAAAAATGCTAAATTTTAGGTTGTGTATATCTTACTACAGTTAAAAATATGAGTACACGCATTCCTTTCGAGAGAGTCCTGGGATCACATTTAGATCTCTTGTTTACCTTCCTTTGGGCAGACAGTATGGGCCTCTGGTGACATCCAAATATAAAAGGATACATTATTATCTGGACCAGGGTTCCCCCGCCTGGGCACCACTAGCAGTTTGGGCTGGATCATTCTCTGGTGTGGGGTATCCTGGGCACCGTAGGATGTTGAGCAGCATCCCTGGCCTCCACCCACCAGATGGCAGGAGCCTGTCCGCCCCCCATTCCCTAGTTGCTGCGGCCCAAAATATCTCCAGACTGTGCCAGAAATCCCCTAGGGGGGACCCCATCACCCTGCTGAGCACCCCTGTTCTAGGTTACGCATTCACTTCCATACCAAGTTGATTTCCCAAAGAGACTTTAAGCACGGAACTTACAGAACAGGTAAGTTCTCTGGTGCAGATACGAATCTGCCTTTTTTCAAAGGGGGCAGCCCTGCCTTCTCAAACTGAAACGTGCATGCAAATCACGCAGCAGTCTTGTTAGAAATGCAGTTTCTGATCCAGCAGGTGGGGGAGTGAGGCTCACGTTTGCATTTCCCACCAGCTCCTTGTGAGCCCACAGGGGATTTCAGTGTCTCTTCACCGGGAGGACCCGAGCGAACCGGTGGCTGAGATTGACGCGTGCCTTAGGTGCCCTTGTGGTCTTCCATCAGCTCCTGGGCGTGGACCACCGTTTGAGTAGCAAGGATAGAATAGTCTGTAAGGATAGTTCCCATGTTAGCGCCTCTGCTTCCCAAGTAAAGGGGAGATCTTGATAGAGAAGTACCAAGGTTCCCAGGCTCCATCCAGAAAACCGTCCCATGGATATTGCAGAACAAGTAGGCACTAGACTGTGGTTTGCTTTAACTCATGAGTCCGTGAACGGTTGCTGATGAGTGTCCCACGCACCCCTCATTCCTGCCCATTAGATCCCCGGGAAGCCTACAGGGACTATGTCCGCAGGAAGTTCCGGCTGATGGAAGACCGCAATGCGTGCCTAGGGGAGTGCGTCAACCTCAGCCACAGATACACCCGTCTCCTCCTGGTGAAGGAACACTCAAACCCCATGTGGGCCCAGCAGAAGCTTTTGGACACTGGCTGGGGACAGGCGAGAACCGTGGGACACCAGGCCAGCTTCATCCAGATGGAGACCCTCTTTGAGCCCGACGAGGAGCGCCCCGAGCCGCCACGCACTGTGGTCCTGCAGGGAGCAGCGGGGATGGGCAAGTCCATGGTGGCCCACAAGGTGATGCTGGACTGGGCCGACGGGAGGCTCTTCCAGGACAGGTTTGATTACGTCTTCTACATCAACTGCAGGGAGATGAACCAGAGCACCACCGAGCAGAGCGCCCAAGACCTCATCTCCAGCTGCTGGCCTGAGCCCAGCGTGCCCCTCCAGGAGCTTGTCCGAGTGCCTGAGCGCCTCCTATTCATTATTGATGGCTTTGATGAGCTAAAACCCTCTTTCCACGACCCTCAGGGCCCCTGGTGCCTCTGTTGGGAGGGGAAACGGCCCACAGAGCTTCTCCTTTGCAGCCTGATTCGGAAGAAGCTGCTGCCCGAGCTGTCGGTGCTCATCACCACCAGGCCCACCGCTTTGGAGAAGCTCCACCGCTGGCTGGAGCACCCCAGGCATGTGGCGATCCTGGGCTTCTCTGAGGCAGAAAGGAAGGAGTACTTCTACAAGTATTTCCACAACGTGGAGCAGGCTGACCAAGTCTTCCATTTCGTGAGGGACAACGAGCCCCTCTTCACTTTGTGCTTCGTCCCCATGGTGTGCTGGGTCGTTTGCACCTGCCTCAAGCAGCAGCTGGAGGATGGGGGGCTCCCAAGGCAGACATCCAAGACCACCACAGCGGTGTACATGCTGTACCTCCTGAGTCTGATGCAGCCCAAGCCGGGGAGCCCAACCCTCCAGCCCCCACCCAACCAGAGAGGGCTGTGCTCCTTGGCAGCAGACGGCCTCTGGAATCAGAAGATCCTGTTTGAGGAGCAGGACCTCCGGAAGCATGGCCTAGATGGGGCAGACGTATCTTCCTTCCTCAACATGAACATCTTCCAGAAGGATATCAACTGTGAAAAGTTCTACAGCTTCATCCACCTGAGCTTCCAGGAATTCTTCGCTGCCATGTACTATCTCCTGGATCCCGGGGAGGGTGGGTCCGGCCCAGAGCAGACCGCGACAAGGCTGCTGGCTGAGTACGGGTTTTCAGAACGGAGCTTCTTGGCCCTTACCGTCCGTTTCCTGTTTGGACTCCTGAATGAGGAGATGAGAAGCTACCTGGAGAAGAGTCTTTGCTGGAAAGTCTCGCCTCACATCAAGGTAGAGCTACTGCGGTGGATCCAAAGCAAAGCTCAGAGCGAGGGCTCTACTCTGCAGCAGGGCTCCCTGGAGCTCTTCAGCTGTCTGTACGAGATCCAGGAGGAGGATTTTATCCAACAGGCCCTGAGCCACTACCAAGTGGTCGTGGTCAGCAACATGGCCACCAAGATGGAGCACGTGATTTCCTCCTTTTGTGTGAAGAACTGCAGGAGCACCCTGGTGCTGCATTTGCACGGGGCTGCCTACAGCATGGACGAGGACGATGGGGGGAGATGGGCTTCGGGGCCCCAGACGCTGCCGGCACAGTCGTAAGTACTCGGTGGGGCTCACTCTCCAAGTTCTTGCTCTCAACCGCGTTGGTGTCCTCAACTGGGGTTGATGTTGTCGCCACCCCAGGAGATACTTGGCAATATCTGGAGAAATGTTGGGTCGTCACAACTAGAGGAGGTAGGGGGTTGCTGTGGCATTTGGGGGATGCAGGCCAGGGATGCTGCAAAGACACCCCAGAGTGCCCAGGACGGCCCCCACCACAGAGGATGGTCTGGCCCCCCAATGTCAACAGTGTCCAGGTTAGTGTCCTATCTTAAACAGTACCCATTTGGACTAAATTGGGGCCCCAGTCCAGGACAGCGTATCCAACCGACAAATATTATCCAGGGTGTTTTTCTATCAGGTGCAGGCAGTGTGAGTAAGCCAACAGTGCCCCCGCCAACCCAGACATCCTAATGGGAAGGGAGAGAGACAATGAACAGTAAATAAAGAAACAGGCAAACAAGCAAAAAAAAAAGATCATTCAGGTAGTTTCAGATGGAGAGAAGCATTATAAGGACAATAAAATAGGGTGGTGTTAAGAGAAAGTGATCTGGAGGGCTGGGGGATGGAAGAAGGAAGCTCGGAAGAAGTGACTCTTTTGGCTTTTTGGCTAAGACCTTGTGTTGGTTTGGGTTCCCCAAGGAGTAATCTTAGACACAAAGATTTGAATGTAAGTAAAACAGAGGAGGGAAATCATCCTTTTTCCTTCTACCCTCTTAGGTCTTGTATGGAGGCCTGTAAATTAAACAGACAAAAGACAGATTAACAGAGAAAAGCAAAGATGTTATTAGATGTTTATTAGTTCTGGGTGGTTCAGTCAGTAGAGCATGTGACTTTTAATCTCAGGGTCATGAGTTCAAGCACCACATTGGGCATAAAAAAAAAAAGTGAATTAATTCGTCCTCACTTACACCTGGGAGTCCCCAGAGATGAGTAACTCAAAGGGCTGGTTAGAACCTGGGCTTTTATAGCGTCCTAACACAAGAACAATACATTTTTAGAGAAGTGGCAAGACAAAGGAAAAGGACACTGAGTTTCTCCGGAGGTTAATTGTGGGAAGGCAGAAATATGGGGGGAACTAATGGCTGATGTGTTTGTGCAGGTTTGTCTTGGAGCTGTAGGGGTGGAAAATTCTCTTCTTCTCTCTTTGGGTCTCTGGCTGGGCCTAAGAACTAAACTGACATATGACAGATTCACAGGAGAAAAGCAGACACAGTTTATTGAATTTTCACATGTGCTTGGGAGCTTGCACCACAGCAGGAAGCTCTCATTCATTCGGATAAAAAACAATCAACTTGGAAAGAATTGACAGGCCATCTGAGGACACGTCAGGCTGAATTTCCAATCAGCTTTATCATGTCACTACATAGAAAGCTACATTAAAGGATCTCTGAAATTAGGGGCTCCTGGGTGGCTCAGTCAGTTAAGCGTCCGACTCTTGATTTCGGCTTGGGTCATGATCTCAGGGTCCTGGGATCGAGCCCTGCGTGGGGCTCCCCGCTCTGTGGGGCGACTTCTTGTCTCCCTCTCCCTCTGCCCCTCCCCCACTTCACATGCACTTGCTTGGGTGTGCCCTCTCTAAAATAAATAAAATCTTTAAACATAAATAAATAAAATGAAAGATCTTTGCAATTAGGGGTGCGCCTGGCTCAGTCAGTGGAACATGTGACTCTTGGACTTGGGGTCATAAGTTTGAGCCCATTGGGTGTAGAGCTTACTTAAAAGAAAAAAGAAAAGAATTGACAAGACAAAGGGCTTTGGGCTGGGGGGCAGTGCAAGGTGACGAAGTAACAAGGTTGTTTATATAGACTTCTTGGCCCGAAATTCACTCTCTGGTGATCAGCACGCCCCTCTTCCTTCTGGTACAGGGAGGAGACCCTTCACGACGGAGATTGATCCGCTCTCAGGGAAGAAGGGCCAGATGGTGGTGGGGTAGGGGGTCAGTGACCCTCCTGCCTCTGCCTCTTTCTCAGACTCCTTCAGCTCAAGACATCTGAGGTGCCACCACCTCTTGGGGTAGTGTGTTCTGAGCCACCCAGGCGCCTCTAAACGTAGGTTTTAAGACAGACTGTGTAACTGGAAGTAAATCAGGAGGCCCTACTGGCCGCATGTCATACCCTGTGCCGTGTGGTTCAGCCCGTTCTCCATCCCAGGCTGATTCAGAGGGACTGTCATAAAGATTTTAGAGATTCCAAAATTACATATCTCCCAAAATTCCCCAGAAAGTGCAAAGCTTCTAATTATAGCTTGGTCTTTCTGGTCACCAGCCCCACCCAGAAGCTCACCCCAAGTCACCTCATGAGAACAAAAGCTTCTCCTATCACCCAAAAAGTCCAAAGGATTTAGGAGCCCTGGGTCAGGGATGGGGTCAAAGACCACATATTAGAATGAGATGGTCCTAGTGCCCTTACCACTTAGGAAATCACAAAAGTATTAGGGGCTCTGTGCCAGGAACCAGAGGCAGAGACCAATATATATACTTTCTATTCTCTCCTAAGTGGTAATTATAAATGCAAATGCTCGCCAAGGCTAGAGTGGGGGGTGGAATAATGCCCCTGCCCCCAAAGACACCCACACCCTAATCCTGGAATCTGTGACTAGGTCACCTCCCAGGTTAAAAGGGACTTTGCAGGTGTGATTAAATTCAGGATCTTGAGCGGGGGAGATTGTCTTGGATTATCCAGGTGAGACACCCGCCTGGACGCTCACCCCGTGAGACTCCTTTCAGACTTGGGACCTCCAGAACTAGAAGATAACTGACTGAGTTGTTTCAAGCTGCTATGCTCGGGGAACAGGAGTCAGATATCGGCAGGCTGGCCACCATGAAACCATTGAGGTTTCATGGAGCAAGGTCATCACACACCCGGCTAGGGGGCTCCGCAGTTGCCTCGTGCTCATGAGGTCCCTGTGCAGCTGGACTTGTTGTTTGTTTTTTTTTAATGTTTTATTTATTTATTCATGAGAGTCAGAGAGAGAGAGAGAAAGAGGCAGAGGCAGAGGGAGAAGCAGGCTCCCCGCCTAGCAGGGAGCCCAATGCAGGACTCGATCCCAGGACCCTGGGATCATGACCCGAGCCGAAGGCAGACGCTTAACTGACTGAGCCACCCAGGCGCCCGGACTTGGTTTTTGAAGAAAGTGTGGAAACCCCTATTTTCACGTGAGGCCTCCTGATGTATAAATCATTGGAGGAATTCAGTTCCCAGGCCACAGGCTCATGATTTCGGGCTCTGGATCTTCAGTAGAGACCTTTGTAATTTCATTAGCTGGGAAGAAAGGGAGGGACTACAGAAAACCAGTAGGTTCATCTGTGTTTCTGGAACGCGAGCAGAACCCCCGGGAGGCTGTCCGAAACACAGATTTCAGGGATGCACCCCGAGAATCTCTGATGAAGTGGGGCTCAGTGCCGGGGCACCTGGCCTCCCCCCCCACACTCTGCTGATTAGTGGAAAAGGATGGAAAAGGGTGGAAAAGGGCTCCCCGGTGTTAAATCAACAAGGAGCAAAGCCTGAACATTTTCTGCCCTGTCTGGGTGGGCTGCTAATGCTTGTGAAAAAATATATATAAAATAATAATAATTACAGTGGGATATTTAAAATACACGCATGAGGGGCGCCTGGCCAGCTCAGTCCGTAGAGCGTGCAACTCCTGCCTCAGGGTTGGGAGTTCAAGCCCTGAGTGGGGCTGGAGCCCACTTCAGAAAAGTAACCAGTAAAGATGACAAACGCTTCGCAAAGCGGGAGGTGACACACGGTCCCCGCACAATCGCTGTGCCGCGTCGGGCACAGCCAGGCTTTGTCCTGTGTCCCCTCCTTGCAGACCCGAGAAGAACGTTTTGCCAGAGGCCTACAGCAAACAGCTTGCTGCCTCTCTGAGCACCAGTCCGAACCTGACGGAGCTGGTTCTGCACCGCAACGCGCTGGGCAGCCGGGGCGTGAGGCTGCTGTGTCGGGGGCCCCGACACCCCGACTGCAAACTTCAGAACCTGAGGTGAGTCCAGGCGGGCCTGCACCCCCGTCTTCAGGGGGCCCCGTCAGAGAGACTAGACGGTGGTGCTCGCGCTCACTGCCCTCACGAAGCACCACAGACTTGGGGGCTTAACCAACAGAAACTCATTTTCTCACCATTCCGGGTCCAGGTGTGGGCGGGGCTGCTGGGTTCCGGGTCCAGGTGTGGGCGGGGCTGCTGGGTTCCGGGTCCAGGTGTGGGCGGGGCTGCAGGGTTCCGGGTCCAGGTGTGGGCGGGGCTGCTGGGTTCCGGGTCCAGGTGTGGGCGGGGCTGCTGGGTTCCGGGTCCAGGTGTGGGCGGGGCTGCAGGGTTCCGGGTCCAGGTGTGGGCGGGGCTGCTGGGTTCCGGGTCCAGGTGTGGGCGGGGCTGCTGGGTTCCGGGTCCAGGTGTGGGCGGGGCTGCAGGGTTCCGGGTCCAGGTGTGGGCGGGGCTGCTGGGTTCCGGGTCCAGGTGTGGGCGGGGCGGCTGGGTTCCGGGTCCAGGTGTGGGCGGGGCTGCTGGGTTCCGGGTCCAGGTGTGGGCGGGGCTGCAGGGTTCCGGGTCCAGGTGTGGGCGGGGCTGCTGGGTTCCGGATCCAGGTGTGGGCGGGGCGGCTTTCCCCTCTGCAGTCTCCTTGCTGTGTGTTCACACCTGCGTGTCTGTGTCCATTTCCTCTTTCCGTAACGACACCAGGCACAGCGGTGACCTCATTTTAATTACTTCTTTAAAGACCCTATTTCCAAATACAGGCACACTGGGAGGTACGGGGGTTAGGATGTCAGTGTATGAATGTTGGGGGACACGACTCAGCCCATACCTACCAGAAGCAGTCAGTAGAAATTCCAGCATCATTATCTCCTGCTTCTCTTATTTTATCTCCTCTTTTCCAGGCTTCCCACCTCAAATCACACTCCCCGATTTCAAAGCGGAGTGCACAAAGCCTTAGTAATTAAAACAGTCTGGTGCTGGGGGCGCCTGGCTGACCCAGTCGGAGGAGCAGGGGACTCTTGACCTCGGGATCCTGAGTTCCAGCCCCACGTTGGGCAGAGATTACTTAAAAAAAAAAAAAAGTGAAGATGGTAAATTTTACGTTATGCATATTCTACCGTGCTGTTACCAAACATGGCACTATTAAGGCATGGCTTAGAGAAATTAGATGACAGCCGGCTGAGGGAACCAGGGGTGTCTGGACCCTGACCCAGAACACAGCCCTGCTCCCCTAGCCCGAGTCCTGAAGGGCAGACACAGGGATCAGAGCCCAGTAAAGCAGGCAACCATTTTGTGAGCAGGATATGGGTCCGATCCCAAAGACATAATAATAAATAATACCATACTTTCTTGAACTCATGCCACGTGCAAGGAACCGTGCCAAGAACTTACATTATGTATGTCACCAGCTCATTCAGGTCAATGCCATCAGCCTTGCTTTCCTGCAGCTCAGGGAGAGATGCAGTGATGAGCGAGCTTCCACGGGGCGGGCGCGTTCCTTGGGACCCACTGGCCACACGCACCTCCTTCTCCAAGTGAAGGAAAAGCCGCAGAACAGAGCCAGTAGGACGGTCTCGAATTCCTCTCTAAGGGCACCTCTGTGACAGCATTTCCTTCACTGCAAAGCACCAAGACATCTTATGTCATTCTTGTTGCTTTTATTTATTTATTTATAATTTTTTTATTCTTATGTTAATCCCCATACATTACATCATTAGTTTTAGATGAAGTGTTCCATGATTCATTGTTTGTGCATAACACCCAGTGCTCCATGCAGAATGTGATATTTATTTTTTTTATTGGCGTATCATTGACATACTGGAAAACTCAGCGGTGGTTTTTCTTTAGGGTATGCACAAGCTTGTGCAAATGTCCCCACAAACTCCAGGCAATCTTCCCCACAGCAGAAAGAGACACCCTAGCCCTTAGCAGGCACTCCCCAATCCCCCCCCCGCCCCTGGCACCCCCTGATCTCCTTTCTTTTACTTTAGAAAAGGGGGAGAATAGGTATAGACCAAAGGAAGCGGGGAGACAAAGGACGAGGGGCAGAATCCACCACCATGGTGACCTGGCCCTTCTCCCCTCCCTCCCACCCAGCCTGAAGAGGTGCCGCGTGGCCAGCTCTGCGTGCCAGGACCTCGCGGCCGCCCTGATGACCAACCAGAACCTAACGAGGGTGGACCTAAGCTGCAACGGGCTGGGGCTGCCGGGCGTGAGGCTGCTCTGCGAGGGGCTCCGGCATCCCAGATGCAGGCTGCAGGTGATCCAGTGAGTCTCCGCACCCTCTTGATGCAAGCCACCCAGCATCCCCTGGGGGGCTGCTTCTCTCCCCTCTGACACTTCTGGTCACAAATGTGTGGGGTTTCCCGCAGCAAGCAACTCTGCCACACCAGTGGGGGGGGGGGGGGGTCCTACAGTTCCCTAACTGTTCAAGTCCATTCTGCCACCATCTACCTGGAGGTGGCGTCATGTCCCACAGGTGAGGGCTTGGTCCCCTGAGATGGCCCCCCACTTCCCCCCACCCCCAGCTTCACTGTCAGTTACAAACCCCGGTTGTCACCTGGCTTCTTTTTTTTTTATTTTATTTTTTTATTTTTTAAATTTATTTATTCGACAGAGAGAGAGAGAGAAGCGAGAGAGGGAATACAAGCAGGGGGAGTGGGAGAGGGAGAAGCAGGCTTCCCGCCGAGCAGGGAGCCCGATGCGGGGCTCGATCCCAGGACCCTGGGATCATGACCTGAGCCGAAGGCAGCCGCTTAACGACTGAGCCACCCAGGCGCCCCTGTCACCTGGCTTCTGAACCTGCCTCGGGTTTGATTAACCTTCTGGGGTGGCTCAGCGAACTCAGGGAAACACTTACCTGTTTATTAAAGAATATGGTGAAGGATGCAGATGAACAGCTGGTGGAAGAGCCACATGGCGTGAGGTCTGGGAGGGTCCCAGAGCAGGAGCTTCTGCCCCACGGAGCTGGGGTGCATCACTCTCTCAGCATGGACGTGTTCACCAGCCTGGAACCTCCGAGCTGTGTGCTCTTGGGGTTTTATGGAGCCTTCCTCTGTGGGCCGCAGATCATTAACTCCATTTCCAGCCCCTCCCCCCTCTCTGGAGGAGGGTGGGGGGCAGGGCTGAACGTTGCCAGCCTCTCATCCTGGCGTGGTCTCTCTGGTGCCCAGCTGCCCACGGGAGCCCACCTTTTAGAACCAGAGACACTCCTAGCGTTTTTGTCATAAAGAAAATGCAGGGGTTTCAGGAGCCCTGTGTCAGGAACGGGGTGGGGGCAGAGACCAGCACATGAGTTTTCTACTGTCTCCTGCCACGTCTCATCCCGTTGCTGACAGTGAACTCCTACTCAGCCTTTCGAGAACCATCTCAAACTCCCCAGAGAGTCTTCCCTAACTGTGCACGGTTTGCCAAGCCTGAGTTAGGCGTCCCCTCCACCGTGATGGTTTTATTTATTTATTTATTTATTTGAGAGAGAATGAGAGACAGAGAGCACAAGAGGGAAGAGGATCAGAGGGAGAAGCAGACCCCCCGCCGAGCAGGGAGCCCGATGCGGGACTCGATCCCGGGACTCCAGGATCATGACCTGAGCCGAAGGCAGTGGCTTAACCACCTGAGCCACCCAGGCGCCCCACCGTGATGGTTTTAATAAACAGTAGCTCACTGTCTGAGCACCTACTGTGTGCCCTGCATGGTTCTACACCCTGTCCCTCTAGTAAAGTATGTAGTCCTTGCAACAACCTTAGGAAGCAGGTGCGATTGTTATCCTTATTTTAGAGGCAACGAACCTAAGGCACAGCGGCAGCTCCCTGAAACATGAAACAGACTTGCTGACCGCTTGCTGGAGGGCGCAGGGCTAGTGAGCGGCAGAGATGGACGTACCCAGGTCTTGAGCTCTAGAGGCCCCACCCTGAGCCATGGTGCACTCCAGCCTCAATGACATCACCTTCACTAGAGGATACTTGCTTACCCCTCTGCATCATCAGACGGGACGCTCCTTGCTGGAAATGATGAAGTCTTGTTCATCTCTGAGCTGTAGTGACCCGTGTAGGTTTGTGTTGGGTGATTCAAGGGGCTAGGGGATGAGCCGGCAGGATAGAGGACAGCAAGATGGCGGCCTCTTCAACGTGTCTTTCCTCCTGAGGTTGAGGAAGTGTCAGCTGGAGCCTGGGGCTTGCCAGGAGATCGCCTCCGTGCTCAGCACCAATCGACACCTGGTGGAGTTGGACCTGACGGGAAACGCCCTGGAGGATTTGGGTCTGAGGCTGTTATGTCAAGGCTTGAGGCACCCAGTGTGTAGGCTGCAGATCCTGTGGTGAGTTCTTCATGGGGTCAACTTAAAACACAAGTCTCCTTGTATTGAGGGATGGTATAAAAATCCATCCACTGTCTGTGCACCCGTTTGTAACAGCCTTATTCACAAGAGCCCAAAGGTGGAAACAGCCCAAATGTCCATCCACAGGTGTATGGGTAAACAAAATATGGCATATACATACGAGGGATATTACTCTATCTTTAAAAAAAAGCGTGAAATTCTGACGCATGCTCCGACGTGGGCGAACCTGGAAGACATGATGTTAAGTGAAATGTCAATCACAAAAGGACAAAGATGATATGATTCCACTTATGACATCCCTAGAATAGTCAAATCCAGACAGAACGTAGAACAGTGGTTGCCATGGGACCAGGGCAGGAGGGAATGGGGAACTGTGCAGAGTTTGTGTTTGGGACCATGCAAAGTTTTGGACATGGATGGTGGTAATGGTTGCAGAGCCTTGAGAATGTACTTAATGCCGCTGAGTCTTACACTTAAAAATGGTTAAACGGGGCTGGTTCAGTTGGAAGAGGGTGTGACTCTTGATCCTGGGGGCATGAGTTCGAGCCCCATATTGGGTTGGGTATAGAGATGACTACATAAAAAGGTTAGAATGGTATAAAGTAAGCTTTACACTCAACGTGGGGCTCAAACTCAAGACCCCATCAAGAGTTGCACGCTCTGGGCACCTGGGTGGCTCAGTCATTAAGCGTCTGCCTTCGGCTCAGGTCATGATCCCGGGGTCCTGGGATCGAGCCCCGCATCGGGCTCCCTGCTGGGCGGGAAGTCTGCTTCTCCCTTTCCCACTCCCCCTGCTTGTGTCCCCTCTCTTGCTCTCTCTGTCAAATAAATCAATAAAAAATATATATATATATTTTTTAAGATTTTATTTATTTATTTGAGACAGAGAGAATGAGAGAGACAGAGAGCACATGAGAGGGGGTAGGGTCAGAGGGAGAAGCAGGCTCCCCGCCGAGCAGGGAGCCCGATGCGGGACTCGATCCCGGGACTCCAGGATCATGACCTGAGCCGAAGGCAGTCACTTAACCAACTGAGCCACCCAGGCGCCCAAAAATATATATTTTTTTAAAAAAAAGAGTTGCACGCTCTACCGACTGAGCTAGCCAGGCACCCCACATGATATATATTTTACCACAATAAAACATAAATAAACAAACATCAAGGGGACAGTAACATCAGTGACGAGCACCATAGAGCCCCCTAAAATAAAGTCCTCCCGCAAAAACTCCTGTGGTCGCCAGTGACAGACACCCCATCTCAGTGTGGTTGAAGACAAGTGAATTTGTTGGCCTCTGTGACCAAGAAGTCCGGAGGGAAATACTGGTTTCAAGCACAGCTGAATCCAGGGACTCACGTGGTAAAATCAGGACTCTGTCTCTGTCTTCCCTTTCTATATATAGGAAGACACTTTGCTAAATGTCAACCAGGGACATCTTTGAGGGACAATAGTGTTTTCCTGCTCTATATTTGTATAAGTTAAGGCACTTCTAACAGCACCCCAAACACATCACTACAAACTTACAGCATAGCACCAAAGATAGGTTGAGGAATCACAAGTGACGAGCACAGAAATGTGGTTCTGTATTTTCTTGATTATTTTAGCCAAGAAAATGCATTGCACTAAAAATAAAATAAAATGCACATGTCATAAAATTTACTGTCTTACGATTTTTTTTTAAAGTAGTCTCTGCACCCGGGCGCCTGGGCGGCTCAGTCGTTGAGCGTCTGCCTTCGGCTCAGGTCATGATCCCAGGGTCCTGGGATCGAGCCCCGCATCGGGCTCCCTGCTCAGGGGGGAAAGCCTGCTTCCCCCTCTCCCACTCTCCCTGCTTGTGTTCCCTCTCTCACTGTGTCTCTCTCTGTCAAATAAATAAATAAAATCTTAAAAAAAAAAGTAGTCTCTGCACCCAACGTGAGGCTCAAACTCACCACCCCAAGATCAAGAGTCGCACGCTCTACCAGCTGAGCCAGCCAGGCGCCCCTATCATCTCACCATTTTGAGGCACATAGTTCCGTGGTATTAAGCATTAACATTCACACTGTTGTGCAAACATCACCACCGTCCATGTCCTGAACTTTTCATCTTGCAAAACTGAAACTGTCCGTTCAACACGGACTCCCCATCTCCCTCCCCCGGCCCCTGATAACCTCTGTTCTACTTTCTGTCTTTATGAATTTGACTACTGTAGGTACCTCTTATAAGTAGAATCACAAAGTGTGTGTGTGTGTGTGTGTGACTGGTTTATTTTCTCAGTATCTTTTCAAGGTTCATCCACACTGTAGCGTGTTTTAGAGGTTCCTTCCTTCTTACGGCTGAATAACATTACGTTGCATGGATATACCACAGTTTGCTTATCCATTCAATTCATCCACCGATGGACACTTGGGTTGCTTCTACCTTTTGGCTATTTTGAATAATGCTGTAAACACTGGGGTACAAATATTTCTTTGAGCCCTTACTTTCAATTCTTTGGGATATGCAACCAGAAATGGAATGGATGGATCATGTGGTTATTCTTTAATTTTTTTTTCTTTTTTTTTTAAAGAGAGAGAGGCAGAGGGAGAAGCAGGCTCCCCGCTGAGCAGGGAGCCCGATGCGGGACTCGATCCCAGGACCCTGGGATCATGACCCGAGCCGAAGGCAGACGCTTAACCATCTGAGCCACCCAGGCGCCCATTTTTTAATTTTTTTTAAAGTTTTCATTTATTTATTTATTTGACAGAGAGAGACACAGCGAGAGAGGGAACACAAGCAGGGGGAGTGGGAGAGGGAGAAGCAGGCTTCCTGCGGAGCAGGGAGCCCAGTGCAGGGCTCGATCCCAGGACGCTGGGACCATGACCTGAGCCGAAGGCAGACGCTTAACGACTGAGCCACCCAGGCGTCTCTATTTTTTAATTTTTCATGGAGCTGCCATATTGTTTCCCACCGCCACTGTACCATTATTCATTCTTACCGACAGTGCATAAAGTTTCCAATTTCTTCACGTCCTTGCCAACGCTTGTGATTTTCAGGTTCTTTTTTTTTTAATTCTTAAAAAAACTGTATTATTATCATTTTTTATAATGGCTATCCTAATGGATGTGACTTGGTGTCTCGTGGTGGTCTTGATTTGCATTTTCCTAGTGATGAGTGGTGCCGAGCATTTTTCATGTGATTTTGGACCACTTGTTTCCTCTCTGTGGAGAAATGTCTATTCAAAGCTTTTGCCCATTTCTTAAAAAAATGAGTTGTTTGTTTGAAAACTATTACGATTGGGGATAGGGAGGATAAAATTGGCGCTGTGTGGAAAACACTCCATGATGCATGCTGAATTGGATTTTCTGCAGGTTGAAGATTTGCCGCCTCACTGCGGCTGCCTGTGAGGATCTCGCCTCCACCCTCACTCAGCGTGAACCAGAACCTGATGGAGCTGGATCTAAGCCTGAATGACCTGGGGGACCCTGGGGTGCTGCTGCTGTGTGAGGGCCTCAGGCATCCCCAGTGCAAGCTTCAGACCCTCCGGAAGTGAGTCCTGCTTTGCTCACCATCATCCGAGTCCAAATCCACAGTCCTTGCTCTTATATCTGGGCTCACTGGGGTCATGCTCACTCCCCTCTTCTCGTAACTAACCTCTTAAGATTTTTCTGCCACAGGGCCTTTGTACAAGCTGTTCTTTCTTCCTGGGATGCCCTTCTGCTTTGCTAACCCCCCTTTTACCCTGGTGACATCTGTTTTATCTGTTAGGACTCAAAACAAATGCTTCTTCCCCATGCATGCCTTCCCTAACCCTTGAATAGGGTCTAGATTCCTAGCTGTGGGATTTAATTTGATCTTATGCTTCTCAGCATCACTCATTAAAACTCGTCATTCTTGTGCATGGGTGTGATCTTCCAAAAGTGCAGGAGCTGTGTCAGTTCTATACTCTCATGGCCACTATAAGACCTGGCTCAGGGGTGTTTGGAAATACATATATTTTATTTTAATTTTTTTATTAAGTTTTTTTGTTTTAAGTCCAAGTTAGTTAACTTATTTTTTTAAAGATTTTTATTTATTTATTTGACAGATAGAGACATAGCGAGAGAGAGAACACAAGCAGGGGGAGTGGGAGAGGGGGAAGCAGGCTTCCCGCGGAGCAGGGAGCCCAATGCGGGGCTCGATCCCAGGACACTGGGATCATGACCTGAGCCGAAGGCAGACGCTTAACAACTGAGCCACCCACGCGCCCTAGTTAGCATATTTTTAAATGAGTGAATGCATGAATACACCCAAGGAACAAAAAGAAAATGCAGAAGGCTGTCAATTTTCAGAAAATCATTTTTGGGGGCGTCAAAGGAGAGTCTGTCTGTCCTACAAAAGCCTCATCTACTATCTGATGTCGTTCACGCTGGAGGGATTTTTTTTCCTTTCGAGACATTGTGAATCGCGTAGCTTCTATTGCTTTTGTTACGTTTGGAGAAGTGCCCTGTTTCTTCCCATTCTTCTCTCCACCTCATCCGGTACCACAATATCACTATGGACCCACACATGCCTCTGCTTTAATTCTGTCTCCTTCTTTGGCACCCCAAAGCTCATCTGCAGGCATGCCTGTCTCAATTTGATGTAAACGATACATCTCACCAATGTCCCCGCCCCACTTACCATTATCCATTCAGGATGTGCTGACCTGGTCCAGACATATCTACCGCGTTCCTTTGAGCTGACCTGCATGCCATCCTCTGCAAACACCAGAGGCTGTGGAGTTGTGCCCCTCCCCCCACCCCCACTCTGCTGTTCCTTCTTGTCCGTGTCCCTTTCTGAACCCCAGTGAGATCCCACCCCAGGGGCAGAGTCGCACACTCAGCCTTCATTTGCATCCTTGGTATCGCAACCCTTCTGAATAGCTCTCTAGAAAGATCGGCAGTTTACTCTTCCACCCGCAATTTAGGAAAGCTACTTTGCCGGTTATCTTTATGGTTATTCGACTTTCTATCTTTAAAGCCCTGGTGGGTGTAAAATGTTCTTAAATGGCATTTCCGTGTTGAGTATCTCTTCATGTGCTTATCAGCTTTTTCGGTTTCCCCATTCTGTGAATTGCCTATTCGTGTAATTTATTGATTTCTTTGGTATGTGTCCTACATTTCTCTTGATGTGCAGATGTTCCCTGTTTCAGACGTTAATCTTTTGTTGACTGCATACCTTGGAAGTGTCTGCTCAGCAGGTCACCAATCTGTCAAATTGTGGATGCTTTCATCAAACGTTTGAGGTCAAATCCATATGTATTTCTATGATTTATATTCTTTTTTTTATTCTTATGTTAATCCCCATACATTACATCATTAGTTTTAGATGTACTGTTCCATGATTCATTGTTTGTGCATAACACCCAGTGCTCCATGCAGAACGTGCCCTCCTCAATACCCACCACCAGGCTAACCCATCCCCCCAGCCCCCTCCCCTCTAGAACCCTCAGTTTGTTTTTCAGAGTCTATCGTCTCTCATGGTTCGTCTCCCCCTCCGATATCCCCCCTTCATTCTTCCCCTCCTGCTATCTTCTTTTTTTTTTTAACATATAATGTATTATTTGTTTCAGAGGTACAGATCTGAGATTCAACAGTCTTGCACAATTCACAGCGCTTACCAGAGCACATACCCTCCCCAGTGTCTATCACCCAGTCACCCCATCCCTCCCACCCACCCCCCACTCCAGCAACCCTCAGTTTGTTTCCTGCGATTAAGAATTCCTCATATCAGTGAGATCATATGATACATGTCTTTCTCTGTTTGACTTATTTCACTCTATGATTTATATTCTTGTGACAGGTCTAAGAAATCCTTTGCCAGGCACCTGGCTGGCTCAGTTGGTGAAGCAGGCTGACTCTTGATCTCGAGGTTGTGAGTTCAAGCCCCACGTTGGGTGTCGATTACTAAAATAAATAAGTAAAACTTAAAAAAAAAAAAAAAGGAATTCTCTGCTAGTACACTATCGCAGGTGTATTCAGTTTCTTCTTTGTGTTTACAGTTTGCTTAGGCACGGTTCAATTTTCTATTTCTAATTTTTGCGATGCCATTTAATAAAAGACCCATGCTTTCCTTGCTGATTTGTGACGCCAGCCCTATTGCAAACTATCTTCCCATATTGCAGTGTTTTTTTTTTAGGTTTATTTATTTAAGTAATCTCTACATCTAACACAGGGCTCGAACTCAAGATCCTGATATCAAGAGTCCCTTGCTCTTCCGCCTAAGCCAACCAGGCGCCCTCTCCCTCAGTCCATGCTCTCCACGTGTCTGTGCTCCTAATCTAATTTCCTGTCGTTGTAATTTCTGTAATTTGTTACATGCTCCACTGTTAGGAAGAGTCTGTCTTTTGCTTTTTGTTTTTGCAGATTTTCAGTTATTCATAGATATTTATTCTGCCATTAAATTTTATTTTATTTATTTAAGAAAAATATTTTATTTATTTATTAGAGAGAGAGAACGAGCAGTGGGGGGAGGGGCAGAGGGAGAGAGAGAAGCCAACTCCCGGCTAAGCAGGAAGCCCAACGTGATGTGGGGGTGGTGGTGGGGCCTCCGGCTGAATCCCAGGACCGGGAGATCATGACCTAAGGCGAAGGCAGATGCTTAACCATCTGAGCCACCCAGGCGCCCTTCTGCCATTAAATTTTAGGATGCATTAAAAAAAAATTCTTTTTAGAACACATCGGTCCAGTTATCCCAGCGTGGCTCTTACTGACTGAGGCCAGGCTCCTTCTCTTGTCCAGACACATCAGGCCAGCCAGACGTTTACATTTACACAGATCCTGCGCGTCACCCTCGAAGGAAAGGAGAGTTCAGGGTTTCACCGCATGGGAGCTCTATCTCAGGCAGAAATGTCTGAAAACTAGAAAAAAAATACTATACTATGAAATATAGCACTTCTGGCTCTCTGAAGCTCCTGCACAGTCTTCCGACCGTGGCTGAGGGCGCCCCAGGTCTGTGACCTTGAGCAGTGCATGGCGTCTGTCTGTCGGGGCCTAGGAGCTCACAGGTGTCGTAACAACAGGTGTGACACCATTTTCCACCCAGCGGCTATCGCCAGGAGCAAAGGAAGTAATGCTTACAAATCACTTGCTGTTAGGGAGCCTGGCTGGCTCAGTCAGAAGAGCATCTGACTCTTGATTTTGGGGTCGCGAGTTTGAGCCCCACGTTGGGTGTGGGGATTACTTAAAATAAAGACAAGACAAGACAGGGAGACCTATGTAAATCACTTGTTGTTACCGGTCCATGTGTTCAGAAAATCCCCGTGTTGAAGTCTCAGCCTCCAGGCCCTCAGGGGGTGGCCTCCGGTGGAAATTCGGTTCTGGAGGCTGGAAGCTGGGAGATCAGGTGTCGGCTAGGGCTCCATTATCGAAATTGGGAGGGGCACAACCCAGCCCATTACGGGGCTGTTGCAGATAAAATTAGTTCAGGTGGGGCGCCTGGGTGGCTCAGTCGGTTGAGCGTCTGCCTTCAGCTCAGGTCATGATCCCGGGGTCCTGGGATCGAGCCCCATGTCAGGCTCTCTGCTTAGCAGGGGAGTCTGCTTCTCACTCTCCCTCTGCCTCTCCCCCTACTTGTGCTCTCTCTCTGTCTCTCTCAAATAAATAAATAAAAACTTAAAAAAAATAATATAGGGGCGCCTGGGTGGCTCAGTCGTTAAGCGTCTGCCTTCGGCTCAGGTCATGATCCCGGGGTCCTGGGATCGAGCCCCGCATCGGGCTCCCTGCTCCGCGGGGAGCCTGCTTCTCCCTCTCCCTCTGCCGCTCCCCCTGCTTGTGCTCTTCTGTCTATCTCTCTGTCAAATAAATAAATAAAATCTTAAAAAAAAAAATTAGTTCAGGTGAGGGCCTGCTGGAGCGGGCCAGCCCTGGATAAGGTGTCCTCACGAAGAGGGAAGAGGGGAAATTCGGACACAGGGCACACACAGGAGGCCGCAGTGCGAACGTGGGGGCAGAGATCGGGGTGATGCTTCTACAGGGCAGGGAACGCCAAAGACCCCCCGGGGCAGAGCCTGGAGCAGGTTCTCAGGGCCGCGGGGGGAACCAGGCTCCCAGCGCCGTGAGACAGTCAGTTTCTACCATGTGAGTCACCAGCGGGGGTACTTGTTACAGTAGCTGCCGGACGCTCATACCCTAGCACCCATCCGATGCCCAACCCATACCAAATATTCCTGTGTTCCTTCCTTCCCGCTCCCCTCTCTCTTTCTTGTTTCTCTCTCCCTTCTGCCTGCCCACCCGCCTGCCCCTTGCTTCTCCCTTCTTCTGTCTGGGGGCGCCCGGCACGAGAGCCCTCCCCGGGGACGTCTGCGGGCCGAGTGCGCTGGGCTCTGGGCGTCCTGTCTTCCAGGTTGGGCATTTGCAGGCTCAGCTCGGCCGCCTGTGAGGGTGTCTGCTCGGTGCTCCAGGTCAACCGCCACCTTCGGGAACTGGACCTGAGCTTCAATGACCTGGGGGACGCGGGCATGTGGCCGCTGTGCGAGGGGCTGCGACACCCCACCTGCAGGCTCCAGAAACTGTGGTGAGCCCCGGGCGCTGGGACGGGTGGGGTCCCGGTGGTGGGGGGCGTCCTTGTCCTTGTGTTCTCTTCATGGAAGGGCCATCCCTCCACGGCCCTGGAAGACACCGGGAGCCCCGAGAGGTGGACAGAAAAGCTGCAAACAGCTCACAGAGGAATTCGTTCTCTGTGGGGTGCAAACGCAAAATGCCTCACTTTCCCTTCGCCCATTGCCTGTAAACATTTTCTGTAAAATTCCCCTTTCTGTTGACATTTACTTGCGCAGATGCCTGGCTCTTCAGTGGCCTTTATAGAATAAAAAATCAGTCTGCTGCAGTGTGAATTCCAGCCAAATGTGAATGGTCCCTTCCTCCCTCTTCTTTCTCCCTGGAACCTGCCTGGCCCCCACCCCAAATGACTGTTTCTACTGTGGGCGTTTCTGAGTCTCTCGATTATCTGGGGCCCTGGGTAGGTGGGCATCGAGACGGGGGCTCAGGGACAGCACTTTCCCCTTATTGGTGCTGCTAGGGTCCCGGGGTGTCAGTATCTCCCCCCCATCTGGCAGGTATCCAAAGGCCACCTCTGTCTTTGGGATCACATGCGTGTTCTTACGGGACCCCCCCCCACAGGAAGTGCCCCAACTGCCCAGTCTCCTGACATGGAATCTGGGTCAACGTCCTTGCATAGCCCCTCCCCCACCACGGGTCTCACCCTAACCTTCCTCTCCTGACCCTTCTGCACCACGCTGGTTTTTTCTCTTCCTCTGCAAGTCCAGAGCTGTTGTCTTGTACCTCCTTTTGGAAGCTGGTGTCTCTTGTCTCACAAGCTCAGCCAAACTAAGATTAAAATATTTCCACTTAGCATCCCAGCTGTGATGGTACTGCTTTCCGACGGTTGCTGTGAGGAATAAATGACGAAGCAAACAAAGCCCTTAGCAAGGTGCTCAGCACAGAGTTGGCCTTCAGCATATCCTGCTACCTGTTCTTATTGTAACAGCAGAGAATGCAGGGAAGAAACACAATGGGAGGCAGATCGGAAATCAGAGAGAATCAGATGGCACACTGTTCGGGCAGGTGGCAGCCCAATTCATACTGGCTCCTGGGGGAAAAAAAAAGGAGGGCTTATTGACGTGTCACTGATCTTGCTTCAGGCATGGCTTGATCTAAGTGTTTGGACACTTTTTTTTTAAGATTTTATTTATTTATTTGATATAGAAAGGGAGAGCACAAGCAGGTGGAGTGGCAGGCAGAGGGAGAAGCAGGCTCCCCGCTGAGGAAGAAGTCCGACGTGGGGCTCGATCCCAGGACCCTGGGATCATGACCTGAGCCAAAGGCAGCCCTCCACCGCCTGAGCCACCCAGGCGCCCCTAGGTGTTTGGACTTGTGATCTCTATTATCTTCCGTACTTTTTGCTGTATTGATTCCTCTGTTGAGTAAGTTTAGCCTTGATCCTGCTTGATGGCAAAACACCTGCAGCTCTAAGGAGGACTTCTTCTTACCAGGTCTAAGTTCTGAAAGAAAAGCTCCAGGAAGCAAGTAAGGTTCTGATTCACCCGTTTTGGGTGGGTTCTCTGTCCACCTGAAACCATTCATGGTAACTGGAGACATGGAAACCAACCAACTCAGGCCTGGATCCTGAGCTTAAGGACAGTGTGAACCCCAGATGGACAGAGACTGAGGTTTCAATGAGAAACTGGCTCCTGGGGTAGAATTACCAGGAAGGGAAGTGGGTACTTGACTGCAAAATCAGTGGGCATCCTAGAGAGATGGAGCTGTGAATTAACAAGCGTCCTTAAATGCCTCTCTTAAATGTTTTCCATCACCACATTGGCCTTAACCAGGACCAGCTGGGTTCTACTCTGCTTTCTCTTAAATTGGTCCCCTGAAAACATCACCCTGAATCCCTCTCAAGAGACTTTCCAAAATAGCTCCTATGTTTCTTTAACCACTCCTGGTCTTCCACAGGCTGGATAGCTGTGGTCTCACAACCAAAGCCTGTGAGGATCTTTCTTCCGCCCTCGGGGTCAGCCAGACCCTGACGGAGCTCTATCTGACCCACAACGCCCTGGGGAACGCAGGGGTCAGGCTGCTCTGCAAGGGGCTGAGTCATCCCGGCTGCAAACTTCGAGTCCTCTGGTGAGAGACGGGTTTCTAGTTCTGAAGGAGGCAGGGGCGTGGGGCTTGGGGGTGGGAGTGAGGGTCAGTAATCGAGATCCATGGTTCAGATGGACAAATAAGCTAGAAAATTTGGAAACATTTCCTTCGTGCGCTAATGTGTGCAATTAGCGTGGATTGCCCTCGCCAGCTGGGTGACTTTGGGTAATTCACTGGGGACCGACCTCCTAATCTGTCAGATGAGGCCGTTGTAGCTTAGAGAGAATCTGGAATTACTTAAGCAGGCCTCAAGTTCTAATTCTGTCACTTGGCAGTTTTGTGATGGGTTTCTGCAAATCGTTCCACCTCTTGGCTCCTCAGCATCCCCCAGACTGAATGAGCCGGCACAGCTCAGGGACATACGCTGGTGTATAGCTTAGAGTCCAGCCTGGTTCCCGATGAGATCTGGTTTCCAACGAAGTACCAGATAATGAAATTATCGTAATAAGGCAGGAGGCGTGATAGATTCGAATGCCACAGCAGTGGCCTGGAATAATGTGTCCCGCTCTGTGTCCTAAGGTTATTTGGAATGGACCTGAATAAAATGACCCACAGAAGACTGGCAGCCCTTCGGCTAACGAAACCTCACCTGGACATCGGTTGCTGAACAACCACTGGCTGTTCTCTTGGGAGTCAGGACAGAGGAAGGTGATCCCAGGACCAGCGCGTTAGTCAACGTGATGATCAGGCTCTTTTAGCTCCTGCAAACTCCCACGCAGGATAAATCCCTTCTGCTTGGGGACTGTCATCAATGTGTGATGGAGCGTGGAGCATTAGTTTTGGGAATGCGGATGTCATGGAGAGAACTTAGGACAGGGCCCCAGATGGTTCTCAGCAGAGGGTGATTTTGCACCCCTGTCCCTCCCCGGGGCACTTGGCAATGTCAGGAGACATTGGGGTGCTGCTGGGAGCTATTGGATGTAGTGGGTGGAGGCCACGGATCCTCCCAAACATCCCGCAAAGGACAAGACAGCCCCCTACGGCTAGAGTGTTTAGTTAAAATGACATTTGTGCGAGGCTGAGAAACCTCGTTCAAGGACCAGCGGTGCAACGGGAGTGCCAGGCAGCGTGCCTTAGGACGCTGGTCATGCCAGCGGGCACACCCGCACCCTCGCAGTCTTGTTCTGCAGGTGGTCCTGCCGCCGGGCTGGAGGCAGGTGCACGGCGGTTGGACCCCTTGCCAGGGTTAGCCGACTGTGGGCCGGCCAAGCATCTGTACTGTGCTGTGGATAAGAACTCGAACAAACCCAGGTTTTCCCTGTTGGGAGATAGGGAACCTCAGCCCCAGCCGGTGACGGGCAGGAACCCCCAAGGACACCGGGAGCATGCCGCTCGCACTGAAGCCCTAAGTGAAGGTGTCTGGGAAAGACTGGAACTTCCTAGGAAGCAGAGGTAATTTGTCGAGGAACCCGTGACTTGTAATCCATGGATGTCTGGAAAGGGAGGTAAATCAGATTCCTCAGACGTCATTCCTGTGGGCATCAATAAACGTCCCACGAATGGTCACATCACACTCGGCTCCTGGAAATCCAGCCCTTTCCATGACTGAGCTCCCTGTAGCGTGTCTGGCCTCCAGCCCCCCCTCCCAAAGAGCCCCACGGGTCATGACCGAGGCACTTAGAGCTGAAGCAGAAACATGGGCCCGATGCCCGGACTCTGGGCTGCCTCTCGCGGAGAGCCCAGTAAGGTCCGTGGGAGGCTCTTGGGAGGACTAAGGTTCAACAGGATGCCTTGTAAGGCGGCGTTTGGGGATCCTGGTTAGTGGCACGGTGGAAGGGACGAGGCAGCTCCCTAGGCCTGACTTTGGGGACCATACTGCAGTACTTTGGGGAGACCCACGGGGCATAACCCTCCAGGACCAGGGAGGGTCTGTTCCATTGAAATGGTTATGAAGCCTAGCAGTCCATTCCCAGTAAAAGCTCTTAAAAACCAGCAGCTAAGTTTAGCGTGTGCTGAGCATTTTTTCCGTTAACAGGGAGGAAAAATGGCATTTTAGGACAGCCTAAAATAGCAGCCCTGCTGGATGCACCCCCCAGCACAGGCAGCATTACATTTTCCCACTGTGAAACTCGAGGTCCTGCATCCACTTGAATCCTACAAAGGGGAACCACAAGGCGCTCATTCCTGACACCCTCCTTCCATTGCCCTTTTCTCAGTATGACCACTGTCTTGAGCTTAGCTTATTATCTCGACCCACTTGGGATTGTGGAGGTGGTGCAGGAGGGGGGGGAAGTTATTCTCTAAGTATCAGGGTGACTCCTTAATGGGAGAATAGACCGTGGCACGTGTCCCCATGTTGGGGTGGGGAACTGCAGCCATTTGGGGCTTCCCGTGCACGTTCTTTCACACCTGCACGTGAGCAGGCATTTCTTTTACAATAGTGTTAAGCATACACAGATGTGAAGCCCAAGAAGCAGCTCCTCCCTCCCCTCCCCAATGCACAGGGCCAATTCTCAGGCTAGTCAAACCACACAGAAGCAACGTACTCAGTTCGTATTTTATTGGACTGATTCGACTGATTCGACTGATTTTCACCATTTGACACCATTTGAGATGTAAAGGTAACAGGACTGAGAATGTCAGCAGCAAAGAAGCCACCACCCACAGGGCGCCTTGGTGGCTCAGTTGGTTAAACGACTGCCTTCGGCTCAGGTCATGATCCTGGAGTCCTGGGATCGAGTCCCACGTCGGTCTCCCTGCTCAGCAGGGAGTCTGCCTCTCTCTGACCCTCCGCCCCTCATGCTCGCTCATTCTCGCTCTCAAATAAAATCTTAAAAAAAGCCACCCACAAAGGAGCCAACTGGAAAGGTTCATGTTAAATCTTTGGATTGGAATGGAGGGGAAAAGCTGTTCAGAGCTGGAGGAAGGTCCTTCAATCTCAAGACTACTGATACAAGGGTCAGTTTGTGGAAAAAAAGTCCCGAATTGCACAAATACCCACTAGGCAGGACAGAAGGGCGTGGGCTGTGGGGACAGCTGTCTGCAGCAGGGTCGGCTGGGCTGTGCCCCAGAGGTAGGAGGCTGGAAGTCTAGAGGCAGGTTGCCACATTCACCCCAAAATCCTTGCTTCCCAGTCCGTCTCGAGGATGCAGCCGTTTTCCTCAGACAAGGATACACAAAAATGGGAGCACTTTCCAGACAAGAGAACGGGGAGTGCCCTCATTTTGTGTATCCCAGTGTGAGCAGTTGGGTTCTGCTCCTGGAAGCCAAAGGGAAAGCGTGCCGAGCCACACGCGGCATTGGGAAGCCTAAGAGAGAAATAGGTTAAACACGTTAACACTGAAACGTCCCCAGCTCCACGGTTGGGTGTGCGTGTCCAGAGGTTTCCTGAATGCTAAAAACCCCATTTCCCCACGGATAGAGGTCTCAGTTGTTGATCCAGAAAGCCCCCGAAGACAGCTGGGACCAGAGCAGGATCGGGGGTCCCCTGATGGTGCCCACCAGTAACACCCAAATGTTGTAGCACTTTTCACTGAGTTATCCGAAGAGTGCTTCCACATTTGAGTGACACGGGAGAGCTGCAGGGACGTGGCCTGGATGGGGCTCCCGCTTGACCCAAGCCGTGGCTCAGGACGGTCAAGGAGCAGAGCTGCTCAATCGGGGACCCTCAAAAAATGGCGGCACTTCCCTCCTTAGAACAGAAAGTGCCCCCACAGTTTGAGTGCCACAGGTCGAGTATCCACGGGTGGCCACGAAGGGAACCACTCAGCAGGAGGAAGCCCTGCGGGGCCAGTGATTAGACCCGCCTTGCCCCTAAAGGTCTGGCAGACGGAAGGGGACGATGAAGCAAACAGATAAAAGGTCACCAACACCCCCCCAAGTTTAGCACATTAAACATCCATTGAAAACACATTACATATGGGCGCCTGGGTGGCTCAGTTGGTTGAGCGACTGCCTTTGGCTCAGGTCATGGTCCCGGAGTCCTGGGATGGAGCCCCGCATCGGGCTCCCTGTTCTGCGGGGAGCCTGCTTGTCCCTCTCCCACTCCCCCTGTTGTGTTCCCTCTCTCGCTGTGTCTCTGTCAAATAAATAAATAAAATCTTAAAAAAAAAAAAAGAAAACACATTACATGTAACCCCACTCAAGGTCAAACACTTAAGGTTTGGTGACGTTGAACAGGCCTGGTTCGCAGTTTTTGCTGACACTGCACATGTGAGATTGAAAGAACTGCCTTTATCACCCCAAAGGGCACGGAAGAACCAACTTTCCCACTCATTAACATTGTAAAAGAACCCCACACTCACACCCATTCATCTGAATAGAAACCCACAGGGGAACCCACAGGATATGGCAAGGTTGCAGAAGCTGGGGTGGGGGGGACTCAGGGGAAAGCGGTAGAGAGTGGGAGAAAGTTGGCAACCTCAGAAATGAAAGACCTTGGAAGGGAAAGCCCTACAAGACGGGAAGAGGGAGGAGGAAGGAGCAGAAGAGGAACAGGTCATACTCACAACGGAAGAGAAGGCGGTCACGCGGCTTCCCAGGGCAGGTAGCGCTGCTGGGCTCTTATAAAGGCTGATGGCCCGCTCTCCCTTGACTCTGGGGGAGGACCCTTCCCTCCTCCCCTTCTCCGCCCAGACCCACCTGAGTGCCTCTGATTGGAGCTGGTCTGGGTCAGACACTCCCTTACCTGTTTGTTAAACAGTTTACCCATTTGTTGGATGTCTCTCCTGGGGAAATGCGGACAAGTGACCGGAGGAAAGTAATTCCGTCTCCTGGGGTGGGGGTCGGTTATGGATTCAGCAAACATTTAAGCATGATCTGTATTAGATTTACTGAACTTACGAGATTTACCAGGCACTTTGCTAAGCTCTAGTGGTGGGAGGAATGAATAAGACCATGGGAGGTATCGTCTAGAACAGTGGTTTCCAACCAGGGGTGGGTTTCTTTCTCCCCAGGGGAGAGTTGGCAATGTCTAGGGACCTTTTTGGTTGTCAAAATTGGGTTGTGGGGGGCAGAGTGTGCTCGGAGCTTCTAGTGCCTGGGGGCCAGGACTGCTGGTAAGCATCCTCCAGCGCGGGCAGCCCCTCGAAGAGGAGTCCCCAGCTCCAAAGATGAGGAACTGATTTAGCACAAGGCTGATTACCAGGAAAAAAAAAATACAGCTCCCCCCATAACAAGCACACATACATATAATTGCTGTTAAACAATTTCATCTCAGTGTTGCAGCATACTCGTACAAATGTTGGTGTTGGGAGTTCACCTCTGCGTTCTTAAAATTCAATAGTCTGCTACAAAGTATTTAAAAGGGGCACCTGGCTGGCTCAGTCCATGGAGCAGGAGAAGCTTGATCTCGGGGGTTGTGAGTCTGAGCCTCGTGTGGTGTGTAGAGATTACTTACAAATAAAAAATTTTAAAAATCCTAAAAAGTGGGCGCCTGGATGGCTCAGTTAAGCGTCTGCCTTCAGCTCAGTTCATGATCTCAGGGTTCCGGGATCGAGCCCCACGTCAGGCTCCCTGCTCTCGGGGCCTGCTTCTCCCTCTCCTCCCAGCTCAGTGCTCTCTCTTGCTGTCTCTCTCTCTCAAATAAATAAGCAAAATCTTAAAAAAAAAAAAAAAATCTTAAAAAAAATGTTTTAACAACCATAAATTTGATACCTTTTAAAAGCGTGCACCAGGGGCATCTGGGTGCCTCAGTCGTTAAGCGTCTGCCTTTGGCTCAGGTCACGATCCCGGGGTCCTGGAATCGAGACCCGCATCGGGCTCCCTGCTCCGCGGGGAGCCTGCTTCTCCCTCTCCCACTCCCCCTGCTTGTGTTCCTTCTCTCGTTGTCTCTGTCAAATAAATATCTTAATACATACATACATACATACATACATACATACAAGTGTGCACGTTTTACTCAATTCATGCACCTTGCTGAGGTCTGAGGCCTTACTGGAATTCTCCCCATGGCAGATCTTGGAGGTATACCTGAAGCCCATGGGACCTGCTAAAGGAGGTTGGGGGAATTAAAATATGTAAGTAAAACAATAGAGAAATAGATAAAATGTATTTGGGGTTTTTTTTTAAGATTTTTATTTATTTATCAGAGAGAGAGAGACAGAGAGAAGGCAGGCAGAGGGAGAAGCAGGCTCCCTGCTCAGCAAGGAGCCCGATGTGGGACTCGATCTCAGGACCCGGGGATCATGACCTGAGCCGAAGGCAGACGCTTAACCGACTGAGCCACCCAGGCGTCCCGATAAAATGTGTTTTAAAGGCTGAAGGGCAATGTACAGAATGCTTTTATTGTAATTTCATGAATCCCCTAATGTTAGACATTTTCAATTTTTAAAAGAATTTAGGATAATTTTTTTTTAAGTATGCTCCACGCCTACTGTGGGCCTGCAACTCTGACCCCGAGATCAGGAGTCGGATGTTCTACCGACTGGGCCAGCCGGGCACTCACTCCAAAATTTTAGGATAATTTAAAAAAACTATCCAAACTTTTCTGAGAGCATTTGTAAGAGTGCAGTCATTTCTGATGTCGTCTAGGAATCCGAGTTAACCCTCCAAAGGCTGTGGGCAGTTGACAGGTGCGACCATGGAGATGCAGTGATTCGCCCGGGGAAAGCAAGGGCCAGAAAGAAGCAGGGTGTTGTAGAAGTGCAGGCTCCGAATTCTTGCTCTGGTCCTTGTCGTGTTGCTGGAGAGCCCTGCTTATGACCTGCTCCAGATTCAGATCCGAACTGGCCACTCTCCCCTCCCACCACACCTGGACGCCTGGACCTTCAGGTGTTTCTCCAAACTCAGCAAGCTCTCTCCCATCATGTCACCTTGTCCTTGCACGTTTCTGGGCCAGTGGCAGCTTTCTGCTCCCGCCCTTGACCCCCATAGGCCTTTCTCCTCCTACTGAAAGTCACCTGGTCTGGGGGGCTCCCCTGGGTGCTGCACAGATAGCATCCTGTACCCCGCGTTGACTGCAGACTCCACCAGCTTACCAGTCCTATTTCTCTAATAAAGCACTTACCACTTCTGGTTATTTGCCAGTTTTTTTACTTGCCTCTCGTGCTTAGCTCCTGGGGAACCGTGGCTTGTCTGTCTTATTCACCTGCCCACCCCCCAAATCCCCATCCCCAAAATCAGTCCTGGGTCTGACACACGGTAAAGATGCAGCGAGCATTTTTCCCCCAGGGTGATACATGTGGTCAATGCAATTGAATTTAAGGAACATTAAACAAAGACTATATGCAAAGATGATTTTAAGTGAATTGATAGTAAAAGACCCCATTTG